AACGTTTATATATATATAGATAGATAGATACACATACGAGCAAAGTAGTGTATAATAATGTCGTTGTTTTAATTATCACAGTGCACGCTTATATTGTATACAATATGAGTCCATAATACGACGACGAAAATAATTTACCGACCGACAGACGCCGTCTGGGCATCGTAACAATATGAGGAGAGATTTTTCGAGTGGCCATATAAGGGGACCATATAATGCTCACAAATCTTCGAAACGAACACATCGGTACGACGGATATATAATATGACAATAATAATTAGTAATTCGTGTATAATATTATTATACTTGCAACCGACAAACCTACTATCAATGAAATACTATAATAATGACTATAAGCACTAATATCACAAATCACAATCAATAGTACTGGGCACCAAGTACCCACATACTCTGTGGCCTGTGGGTAATAATAATGTATTGTACGCTCGTCGTTTTGGCATTTTACCGAGCTGGGACCCGTATAGCTTAGTGGACTGACGGACGGACGGTATTTACCTTTTTTGTTCAGATAATTCTTGACGCATTTCAGGAACTCCGGCAACCGGAATGTGTGCATGGTTCTATTAAACCGGTCATAAAATGTCCGTGACTATTACGATTGTAATTTTTTTTGTGAATATTTCTGTTGTGTTTTGCCTAATTATTTATTTTTTGAGATATTATATTATATTATATTATTTACAAATTATAATCTAACAAAAGCCCGTTATGGTGATACGGTATAACGTCGACGCACATAGGAGACTATACCGCGGTATTGCACACGATACGAGTAGAAACAACACTGTAGAATGAAAAATCTAAAAAAATAAATAACATTAACGACCGTCGGAAATAGTGATACAAACTAGATTAAAGAATAGAGAAAAAGATTTAGAGAGAGCTGCGTGCTTAAGTACATAACACCAGAATAAGTGCTCAGCGTCTAACCGTCGGTAACAAACTGAACCGATTCCGAAGTCGAACTAGGCAGTGAACGGCGGCGGCGGCGGCGGTAGTGGCGCGCGGTGGCGGCGGGCGGACGCGTATGTGTTTTTGTAACACACGTTAAAACACGAGAACGTATGCGGCCGGATGGTCGGATGGAAAAGGGTTACCCGCAACGAATACTCCGCAAGATCTTCGCACGCGCGCTTTGGCGTCTGTGTTTGCTTATACCTCGTGGATGGTTTATGCTAAAAAAACTCGCCGCTGACTATCACTCGTTTTATCAATGTTGTACGACACTAACGTACTTATTACCACTACTTAAGTGTTTTTAATAGTATTTTCCAAAAAAAAAATGTCTAACCAGTCCGCAGTCGGCGAATATATAGGTACCAAATGCGCGTATGAAAATAAATAAAAATCTACTGGACGTTAACTTATTATAGACAGTATAACTGTACAGGTATAAGATATAATATGCCCATTGCCCATAGCTGGTAGGTACATCAATGTATACAAAATATTCAAATATCGTATACATTAATAATTATCTATTTATCTATTCCGAGAGATATTTATTGCGTTTCGTAATTCTTATATCGACAGTTGACAAACACAACTTGTAGTTTTTTATATAATATTTAAGTACACATACAATGACGCATAATGACAAAACGATTACATTTTTTGTCTTATCAAATAGGTACTGTATTTTTTTTCAGGCATAAACCGATATTTTGACCTCGATTGAAAATTTTAAAGAGTTGAAAAGAATCTTTTTTTTTGGTAAATCACGGGCCACTGCCAATTATTTTATTCATAATTAATATATCAAAATATGACTCGTGATTTTACAATAAAAAACCATAGGTATAGAAAGTAGAAACACTGCTCTTGGCGATTATTCCGAGTGCTAAATCCGAAATATCTTTATAGGTTGGTATTATAATATATAATAATCTTTTAATGTGATGTTTCCAATGTTCTTTTATAAGAAACAAAAATTTGATATTTTTATTTATAAGAGGGAGAAAGCGCCAAATGGTAGCCTTCGTGTCCACAGTGCCAAAATCATAATAGTATGGTACATTTAACATTAGTACCTTTAGCGCCGGTCTTAATTTTATTAGAGTTTATGTAGAGTCAATTTTTTGGCCACAACAATTTTCTGTCCTTTGTTTGTGTATAACAATATCTTTATCCCGATAGAATGCGAAATTAAGGTAAACATCTAGTGACCAGGTTCGTAATTAAAATATTATCTTATATAATCTAATAATCTATGGCTCTATTATTCTATAGAATATACAATTCTTCCAGCCAGAGTGTTTGATCTTAATTATAAAGTCATTATTATATCTGAGAAGTACATTAACAAGAAAAACTTGGTATTGGAGGTTACTAGAATTCAGTAACTAACTACTAGCACGAAATGAATTCACAAATTATATGATAACTGTACTTAAACTTAATAAAATAAAATAACAGTAACATTTTTTTAATTTCCTAAATATTTATTGCATACTTACTTACCTACTTACTTAGGAACAAATAAACCATTATTCAAATTAAATTAATACTACCAGGAATTGTGAATATTGAATAACATTTTTCAATGACGCAGTTAATATCAAGATTCAAGATTTGGATTTGAATATTTTATTAATAATTTTATTCGATGAACAGCTAACAAGGCTAAACAAGAATATTGTTCATTCGGTCATCGGAGCTCACATTATAATAATACTATATTACTATAGTATTGTCGTTTTTATTATATATTTTAATCCCCAGACAGAAAAAATACGACATTGAATCGAATTGTAATTTGCGATTTTCTTATTTTACCAGTAAAAAAACTGTTTAAAATGTGCAGTTTATTCAAATCGATTTCGTGAAACATGTGATTTTCATATGACCTATTCATTGAGATTTAATAATGTAAAAAGACTTGTTTAATTTTCCAATTGTTGTTTGTAATTTGTATAGTTGAGTATTTTACAATAGTCTTTTACAATGACTGTGAACAACTACTATAGGTAGATCGTAGATACATAATAATTAACAAATAATAACTAATAAGTTATAGGGTTCATCGATTATTTATCATACAAAAAGTAAATTAAGCTCTTGTAAATTCTACAGTACCTATAATTATTAGTGAATAAAATATAATATATTAATGAATAGTAGTATTATTTCTATAATACTTTGTTTTAGTGGAGCTATTCATTTTTGAAAAATTTTTTATACACACAAACACAATCATTATTATTTTAATATTTTGAATTGAATACATTTTAAACAGATAATAATAACACCATAGACATATTAATAAATTATTATTAATATGTCTATGAATAACACTAATGAAATGAAATAATTTAATTATGTACAACTTACAACTGCTAAATATAAATTCTAAATAAGAAAATTAGTAATGCACGAATCTAATTTTTTTCTTTCTATAAACTTGACATTTTCTATTATACGGAAACTAAACGTTTCGCAAAAACATATCAATATATCTATAAATGTATGTACCTACTTATATACAATTTATAAATGCTTGTATTAAAAAACCTTGTGCCTTATAAAGGTAATAGATAAAAAAAAATGGTAAATATATAGTTATGTAGAAAAATAGATGAATACATAATTTTAAATTCCACAACGTAAATGCGAAATAAAATAAATATTGTAATATTATATGTAATATTCAGATTTCTCACACACACCCAAATACAATATTATTATTTTTTTGATTTCAACCCGCGATCATTGTGCAACAATTTAATGATATTATAATATTATATTAAATCATCATCATTCATCACAACATCGGGCGGCGAATCACATTCACAATATTGCGCTTCAAATGCACACCTAAATATTATAATACTATTGTACCTACATATTATTATATTTGTAGATAATAAAAAAGTACGGGCGTGACCAAGGACTATAGATAACATTTTTTTTTTTATTTCTTTCCCCATAACAACACACACATCGACCGTCATCATCATCACCATCATCATAATAATAATAATCATAATCTTCGTCATCGTCATCAATAACAATGACTGTGATCATCATCGAAAACAATAAAAACGATAACGGGAAACAGTATAATATTATTCACCAAAACCGTGTAGATTTCACTTGTCGTTTTTATGAATGAACGAACGGCAAAGTACCCCCCACCACCGGCCGCACTACATTATTATATTATTATACTATTATTAAAGACCTCAATGATGGGATGGGTTATGTAGAGGAGGTAGTGGTGACCGGCCTGCGATGTGCGTGCGAGCAGTTATAATACTACTACTAATAATAATAATAATAACAATATAATATAGAATTTAATTAATGATCCGCTACAAAACGCGCGCGTTCGATCGCGTCGTGTTGTGCGTTGTTTTTTTAAAACTTTTTTATTATCCGACTGCTGCTGCGCTTTGGTACATTTTCCGGACATTGACATCATCTGGCAGGCACGAAAAAAAAACACTTGCACACGAATATAATACACACTAGGTAGGACGCCGCAGTGCACACAATAACAATATTATATTGTTGTTATTATTATCTATATGAGTATAATATTTTATATTATGTGTGTGGATTCCGTAAATTGTATATAATAGGCAGTACATACTGCATAACCGTAATAACTAATAATACATTGCAAAGGTCAAATTTAAAAATTTATTTTTTAAACATTTGTTCACACCGTTACCTGTATTTTCATATGCATCTATATTTCATACCTTCTGGTATTCCTTAGGTACTAAGATTTTTTTTTCTATTTTTGGATTTCATAGTAAATTATTATAGTTTATTGACGTATTTGGCATCGGTTAATATGGAGGAATATAGACGTTCTCGTCCGATACACTTGACGAGCCAGGGGCAGGCTGCGCATCCAATAATATACATATATTTAATTATAAATATAACGTAATACCTTTAATATTATTACCTGGTATATTAGTAGCAAATGATACGACTAATAAATATAAAAATACCGAAATTTGTCGACTTACCGTGTTTCCTGCGGGATGCCATCCATTGGATTGGCGGAGACGGTAACGAGCGGCTTCTACCCGGCGAAGGCTCCACGATAGAGCCTGGAAATATATCCCCGGGAAAGAATCCGATACCTATAAACAGATCAATTTTTATTTATAATTGTTATTCAATAAAATATAATAGATTTATAATAATATTAAAATAAATAATTTCGTAAAATTTGTTTATCTCTATCTTTTAAATATTTAACTATTCAGAAAGAAACATTTGTTGCTAATTTTGGAACTAATGAAAATACGTCTAACAGAGTCCTTACTATAGATAGCTAGGTATATTATATTATAATGAATGTTATAAAGTAAAAAATATTTTAAAATGCTACTTATAAATAAGCTAAATAAGACTTAATGATCAAGAAGATTGTAAATGTTTTATTCTGATTTTATTTGTTAAATTCAATTTTAACAATAAAAAGGGTACAAAAGCGGTACCGCTTTGCTTTACAGTAGGTGTCAAGTGGGTGTCACTGTAATGGATGTGTTAAATTTAAATTCATTAGATATATTATCATTTATCATAGTATATGAAAAAAGTTCTGAGCGGAGACGGTCTATCAGCCTATATCATGATTCATGATACTTCATCAAATGTCTATAAATAGCTCAAAAAATCAATATATTTTGAAAATTATACAATGTGTTTACTCTGCAGTGTTGCCGGATAAAAAATTGAGAACTCCTCAACGAAATTATAAAAAAAGTTTCGAAAATTCCCCAAAATTATAAAAAACATCTCAAAAATTCTCCAAAAAAAAAATTATTTTCACTGAATAGTGAATAAACATAGTTCTTAACCATGGTCATATTTGACTATTCTGTGATACGAGTATACGACCAAATTTAATGTTAATAGATAGGATGATAAGAATTTGTTTCGGTCAAAAATATTGGGGAAAAAAATTGTTAAATTAATTTCACATCACTATATTGAACATTCAGACATTTTTCTCCAATTTTCCCCAAAACATAATATTATCGAGGCCAAATTTCCCCCTCCATGTGGCCACTGTTCTATGGTACAGACCTCCGAGCTCCGACGGGTGGCTATCTGGCCTGTACAATAGTGGAGATCGCGAAAAAAGAGGAGTTTTGGTCCTTCACCGGATGCATATTCTCTCATGGCCCAGAGTATAGAAAATTATAACATAAATATTTAGTGTAATTTGTGAAATTTTCCAGAAGCTATGGTTATTTGTTTTTGAATAACAACAAAATATCAAAAATCGTTTGAGTTGAAATTAATTTACGAATATTAAAGATTTTACGATATTTTATGAATATCCAATGACATAAAAATGTTAACTTCAAACGCTCATAAAAAAAATTATGTGACTTCCAGTAAACTGTTTTTATATATAGGTAGAAAAACTTATAGAGAATCTTTTATTAAATTTTCAAATCTTATTATAAAAATAACAATATGAAAATAAAATTGTTTATGAATTTCTAACTTCAGACGCTCATAAAAAAATAGTACCTATATTTTGTGTTAATTGTACAATTTTAAATATTATTTTATGATATAGGTAATTAATGTAATTCCATAAAATGAGTAAATGAATATGACTGTATTATATTATGGCATAAGAAATATAGAAAGAAGAAAACAAAACAAAACAGTAGCATTGTATTAATCCAACTAAAATACGCAATCATAATTCATATAAGTTGTACAGGATTAAATAGAGATAAAATAAATGACATAACATAATATATTATTTGGTAATTAAATAGGTACAACGCAATATGCTACTCTATAATAAGACTATGATCTCGAGAGACTAATTTGTACTCGACACACTCAAAAGCATAATCAAATACAACACATCTTTTATAAAAACCATCATAATATATTATATTATACTATAATATACTTAAGTATACGATTAAGAATTAAGTAGGTGAATAATTACAATCGCACGTCTTTACACAGTATTGTCAATAAACTTAAAACAGTTATTGTATAGATAACAAATTTTAAAAAAATGTAATCAACAACTATACGGTTATAATATTTTAATTTAAAAAATAATTATAATTTTATTTTAAACAAAAATACTAAAACGTCTAAAACTAATTTTAAATCATTTGTTTTGTTTAAACTTAAAAACGGATAAACACATTTTGTTTTTCCTAGAAATATACAATATACTACACAGCATAAATTATATTTTTTACTGTTTTATATTTATAAATGTATACAAAAATATAATATACCATAGCACTGGTTTTATGAATAGGTCAGTAGGTAGCAATAGCCATGTGTTATAGAATGAATTTCGTGTATTGTACAAAATATATCTTGTGCATTCATATAGTAAAATAGAATATAAGAGCTTTCTGCCTTTCTGTATATTATCCATTATCGGACACTTGAACGCGTACCGATATTATACAATATTTCATTCACGATACATCACATTTATGTGTAATAATTAATTTTTCTTACATACTCATCATCGTAAATGAACGGTTGTTATTCAGAAACTCAATGAGGTCACGCCTAACCAAGTTTTAAAAAGCAATATAAAGACAATCCATGGATTTCAGGCCTCAGCCGACATTTATTTTCAACATTTTCAAATTTGTTATTTCACGCACGAAATGCGTTTGGACTTTTACGGATTTGTAAAGTTTACTTACACATAATACCTGAAGCTTTAGCTCGATTAAAAGCGTGCATATATAAACGAAATTCACTGATAACACGGATTGGAGACAATCTGTTTAATCCATTTACAAAACAAACGAAAAATTAATTAAAATTTCATAGTATTTTTATATTAAACGAATATTATATATAATATATTATACATACTACGTAGATTATAGTGCTATATTTTATCAGTATTCAGAACCTATATATACCGATCAGTATCTTCACACTGGGTGTCTGGGTATTAAGAGAACTCCACTTTTTTACGACAAACGCTTTTTAAAACTAAAACGATCGTACGATCAAAGATGGGCGAGACAGAGCTAATGATGAGGCAATAGTTTTTTGAGCCAATATATATGACATTAGGCTTATTAGTTTTCTTGGAGAGCAGTTATTGATTACCTACTTGAATTAAAAAAATATCGTCATCTATTTTGGTTATTCATATAACATTTTTTGTGTTGTTACTTATAACAATATTGTGTCAAATTGTAGTTTGGATGATCTTTTGGACACCAGTATGCCTTCAAAAATTCAGCTGAATTCGCCATGCGAGGTGGCTTTGTTAAATCATACTCATTAAATATATATTCATATAGGCAGTGATTGAATTGGAACAAAAATAAAAGGGGGATGCAAAATTATAAAAAAAATTGCTTACCCGAATATTTAATTTTTTATCGATTAGGATATAATTATAAGGGGCACTCTAAAATATTTTTTAAAAAGAAGAGTACTTCTCCACCCGCGTCCGACTACAATTCTACTGCAAATAGGTAGTAAAATAGGTACAGCAAAGTGCAAACCGAAAACTAAACTGGTTTCTTGTTAATCACGTATTACGTATTTTATAATATACCTATTTATTTCATACGAACATTTTACATCAACAACATACTTATTTCATCAGAAACACGCGGGTTTTTGATTGTTTGAATCTAAATAACAGTTATACTCGGAAGCCATCGCATCAATTTGTTATCTCCATGGGCGGATAGGCCATTTGAAATGAAAAAAAAGCTCGTTTCACTCGCAGGTACATTACTTGGTGAATTATATTAGCTACCATATCAAAATTCAAAAGAAAACAAAACAGTTTTAAAATCATTTATTTATTTTTTAATTTTAAAATAATAACAACCGTGACCGGGAGATGGTATTTTGCGCCAATTTTATTACCTGTAATAGTAATAACTAATAGATTTATAGATATAAGATTATAATATAATATTTCAAATTTCTATTGTACCTAATCTATATATATAAAAATGAATGTATGTCAGTGTGTCAGTGTGTCTGTGTGTCTGTGTGTCCATGTTACCATGGTTACCAAGGTTGCCATGGTTACTAAGGTTACCAAGATTTCATATCAATCTATATATATATATAAATGAATGTATGTCAGTGTGTGTGTGTGTGTGTGTGTGTCCATATTACCATGGCAACCATATCTGTATATAAAAAACAGTAAGCTGATTGACTACTATCAACGCACAGCTCAAACCATTGGACGGATCTGGCTGAAATTTGGCATACAGATAGCTATTATAATATAGACGTGCGCTAAGAAAGGATTTGCCAAAATTCGCATTTTAAATAGGTGCTGAAACAGGGACATTGAGATTCACGATAGAAATTGGAAATTTTATTTTTATTTACTTATAGTTGCCATTGGTTACAGTCTACATTAGAAATTAGCATTTATTTATTGGTTGCCATTGGTTATTCGGGCAGATCAGGTACAAGCTTGCATCAAATCGAATTATTGAACAATGCTTACCAGGGTGGCAGAGTTGCACTTACCGCAGAAAATTACACCCAAAAGGAGTTTAACAATCATAATTTTTTTAAGAGTTGCGATTTTTTACGAGCAACCAAATTTATTATATTAATCCACAGTATTACATCAAAATAAACTTGGTATAACTTTGATACTTTAGAGTTAAATCATACACTTCCGTACAAACAGCACGGGGTCCGCGATCTACCGCAGGTAGATTGCCTACCTGATAATGTACTGCTGCGATTCAGAATTTTTATTCAGGGCAACGGGAAAGATAAGATAAATTTTGAACACCATACACCGAATATTGAATAATGAATTGAACAAAGTTTGAGTAGGTAGTATTGAGTTGATCCATTTAACGGGCGACGAAGTGCACGGGATCAGCTAGTTGTATAATATTAATGAATCATTGCGTTAACCATAAAAAGGGCCCCATTTCCTAAATACGAAGGTAGGGCCCACCGGAAAATGCCCTGTTTCCCGGTAGGCCTATCCGCCCATGGACTTATCTCCATCCACATGTGTTCACCTATGTGTGCGTACGTTCAACTCGTGTCAAATAATTATTCACGTGGTGCAATAAGGTGCAATACTGCAATATACATTTATATGCCTACATTATATTAT